CCTCCTCATCTCTTCTGCCTGGGGCACCAGCTCTGAAGCTGCCCGTGCCTTGCAGAAAGACGTGATGAATCTTGTTAGCTTTATACTTAGTGTTTGAAGTCCAGGTCTTGATAACAGAGTCATATTTCTCCTAAAGAGTTATTAAAGTAGTTTTTCTTTCCTTCCTCTTTATTCGACCCCTTTCCCTCTGTGCTTTCCCTTTATCTCACTCTTCCCCTAACCCCGTGCCTCTCCGTTTCCATCCGGCTTCAGTGTATGTGACACTGACTTGTGCGTTCCGCTACGGCCGAGATGACCTCGACGTTATTGGGTTGACCTTCAGGAAGGACATCTATGTCCTGACCACCCAGATCTTCCCACCGGTGCCGGACCAGGCACCCAAAAGCCTCACTCCTTTGCAGGAGAAGCTGATGAAGAAGCTTGGGGAGAACGCCTACCCCTTCACCTTCGAGGTAGAGGCTGCTCAGCCCTTCCTGAGCACACGCCTCCATGATGTGCACCAGGGCTCATCTCTGGGCATGTTCTTTATCTACTTTTTTTTCTCTTTTCCGCCTCTGCCCAGATCGCCACCAACCTGCCCTGCTCGGTCACCCTCCAGCCGGGACCAGACGATGTGGGAAAGGTGAGATGCTGTCCCCGACCTGTGTCCCCTGGACCCGTCCCCCCTGGCAGGCGATTAAGTTATGGGGTACCAAAAATGAGAACTTCTTCTCTTTCATGGGGAGGTGGCCTGCAGGGTGAGGGTTCTGGAGGAAGGATGGCTGGACCTGGGACCAGGATCTCTGGGGATGCAGTGGAAGAAGGAGGGGAATGAACCTAAACCTCATGCAGCTCTGAGCCCCTCCTGCTTAGTGACTGTATGTGTCCCCCCAGGCCTGCGGTGTGGACTTCGAGGTCAAAGGATTTTGTGCTGAAAATCTGGAGGAGAAAATTCACAAGAGGTATTTTCAGGGGATCCCTTTCCTGCCCCATGTCCCTAAAACCAAACCACCGGATGGTTTTGGGGTGGCCAGCTTAGGGGTCGGGCCAAGGACCTGCCGTCAGCCTGTGCCATGCTTGGATTGGGTACTTTGCCCAAATGAGGGGGAGTGATCCCCATGTCAGCGCCCGCCATGTCCTAAGAGCAGGCTGCAGCTTACACCCTTTGGCTAGAGACACTGTGATGTTGCTGGCGACAGCTGACATGTCCCCCTCGAAGGCTGTGTCGACATGCCCCTCCCGCGGGGGCTGAGGGTGACTGCTTCTCGCCCCGCAGGAACTCAGTGCGCCTCGTCATCCGCAAGATCCAGTTTGCACCCGTGAAGACGGGGCCAGCCCCAAAGTCAGAGACCACCCGGCAGTTCATGATGTCCGACAAGCCCCTGCACCTCGAAGCCTCCCTGGATAAGGAGGTCCGTACAGGAGCCGTCCCCTGGCTTGTGCCACCACGTGCATCCCCAGAGATGGGGACCGGGATGCCCGGTCATGTAACCGAGCCTCTTCCCACTGCAGATCTACTACCACGGAGATCCCATCAATGTGACCGTCAACATCAACAACACCACCAACAAGATTGTGAAAAAAATTAAGATTTCAGGTGAGAGGGGGCAGAAGGGGCATGTGCCAGCGCCCACCACATCCTGGCGTCCCTGTCGGAGATGGGGACCACGCGCCCGTGCCTCCGCCGCACCACCAACGCTGCTCCCTCTTGTCTCTCCTCAGTTGATCAGATCACAGATGTCGTCCTCTATTCGCTGGATAAATACACGAAGACTGTGTGCACCGAGGAGATAAAGTAAGTAAAAAGGGGCTGGGGGTGGCGCGGCATCATGCGGCCGGAGGGAGGAAGAGAATGGAGGAGGAGGAGGGCAGAGTGTTGGGGAGAGGGGGTAGGGAAGACGGTTTTACTCCGGGCACCAAAAATATCAGGGTTAGAAGAGCAGGTGCAGAGGAAGCAGAGGAGAGGGAAGGCTGTGGACACCGTGCCCCCAGCGCAAGCCGGCGGCGGCTGGCGAGGCCCCTGGGGAAAGGTGCGCAGCGGCCCCTCGGCCGCTTCCTCTCCCGCTTTGCACCTCTGAGGCCAACCGCAGCCCCTGTGCCTCTGGGAACGAGGAGGACCGGAGCAAAGGCGGCGGGTAGAAAAAAGAAGTGGTTGTATAAGGGGATGAAAGGAGGAAACAGGCCCAGGTAGCTGCGTGGGGAGGGCAGGGCGGGGGCGTCTGGCTCTGCCCAGGTGCCTGGTGCGATGCTGAGCATCCCCGGTGGGTGCTGAGCACCCACCAGGCTGGTGCTGGCTCTGAGCTCTCCCCTCCCACCCCTTCCAGCGAGAATGTGGGGGCCAACTCCACCTTCTCCAAAACATACTCCGTCACCCCGACGCTCTCGGCCAACCGTGAGAAGCGAGGCCTCGCTCTCGATGGCAAGCTCAAGCACGAGGACACCAACCTGGCCTCCTCCACCATGTAAGAGCCGGGCGGGCTTCCCCCACTCCCCACCATGGCTGGACCCATGCCGTCCCCCTCTCCAACAGCTTCCCATGGCTCAGGATGCTCTGGGCTCCTGCCAAGGGTCCCCCACAGCTCCTTATACCTGAGCCCACCCCATCCAGCTGGAAAGCATAGGGATTTTGTGACACAGCCACAGACCCACGTCTCCACCTCATAGGAGAGACATAGCCTGCCGGTCTGAACCATCATCCAAAGCCCCTGTATCCCTCTGCAGAACTGCATCGGGTCTAATCTCAGGAGTAAATCCCAGCTCAGGCATTTCAAGTGGCCTCCAGAAACTGCTCTGTGGCTTCAGCCAAGTGACCCACCCTTCCCTCTTCTGCTGCCACGTTGTGTTGTCCTCTCCTGCTAACCCTCAGTGCTCCCCACACGAAATGGGGCACAGAGAGAGCCCCAGGAGCTGCCATGGGGGGAGCAGGCAGGGTCTGTGGGCAGCACTGCCCACCCCACTGCTCTGTTCTGCCTTTCTCCTAGCCTGAGACCCGGCATGGACAAGGAGGTCCTGGGCATCCTGGTGTCCTACAAAGTGAAGGTCAACCTGGTGGTGTCCCGAGGAGGGTGAGGCTCTGTGGGCGTGGAGGGCAGGGGCTGTCCCCTCAGGTCGTGCTGTGGGATCTTGCACCACAGGGCAGATGACGAAGGGACTCAGGCCGTGGGTTCCCTTGTCCCTGCCCTGCTCCCCCGGGCTGTGGGGTAGCCGGGCACTGAGCTGCTCTCTGACTCTCACGCCTCTATCCCCATCACCACTGCCCTTCACCCCTATTATAAATCATCTTCTACCTTATTATAAAGCAAAGTCTAACACCTGCCCTCCTCTGCCTTGGCTGATTTCTGTCCCTTCTCTCCCGCTGCCGAAGCATCCTGGGGGATCTCACTTCCAGGTAAGGGGGGAGCTGCCTGCAGGGCCGACCATGGTATGGTGCTGGCTGGGTTTATTGAAAGAAGTGTTTTTCCTTCCAGTGACGTTGGTGTCGAGCTGCCTGTCATCCTGATGCACCCGAAGCCTGTGGACAGTAAGTAGTGCCTGGGATGCTGCTGAAATGCCGGGGAGGAAGGGGCAGTCCCCGACCAGAGGGAACTGGTAAAAGCAAACCTGAGGCAGCCACCTCTGTGCAAAGGGCCCTGCTCTGCCCCAGCATCCATGGCTGTGGGAGGGTCAGAGCTGCGCCGGCTGCGTGGCAACGTGGGAGCAGCTCTGCTCCTCACGGCTCCCCAGCTGCCACCCATCCCAACATCCTTCTGGAAAAGCACCTGAGCATTAAGAGATGTTAGTTGAAATGTCCTTTCTGTACTAACTTGCATGTCTGTCTCTTTTCCAATCCTTGCCTCCCTGTGCTTTGCTTATCCGTGGACTACAGATAAGCCAAGGTAAAGAGATGTTTCCTTATACCCTAAACTAAAGTTTTGTCTAACATCCATCAGATCCATCGCAGATGGATGTGATGCCCCATTCCAGCTTGAGGTTACATCCTTGCCCTGCGCTGAGGTCCCTCAGCTGCTGGAAGCACTGCCGGTCGCAGCCCCGTGCCTTCGCATGCTCCCCAGTGCCAGAGCCCTCTTCTCCCTCCCACGACATGAGCTTACTCCAGCCACAGCTGGGGTTGCTCTCCCGCAGGAAGGTGCAGCGTGCCAAACCCATTCCTGGCAGCCATGCCTGGCAGCCACGGCCGCCAACCAGCCCCGCAGCTGGTCCTTGCTTGCAAAGGCCCAAAAGGCTGTTTTTGTGTCTGGTTACGCACTGCAACGGGACACGAGCGCTGGGATTTGCAGCCTGGAAACGCAGGCTGCAACTGCAAGGCTTTCACAGCAAAGCCTATCAGTTTCCCAGCTCAGTGAGGATATTTAAACTTCCAGAGGAAGAAATCTTTTAGCCTATCCCCACCATTGCTCCCTGTAGGTTTTGCCAAGTCCTTTCACATTTGCAGGCTTTTGGAATTGGTTTTGCTGACTCTTTTTTTTCCATTTCCTTCCCCCACTTTTCATTTTGCGGCTCTCCCTTGATGTCATCCGCCACTTGCCTTTCGCAAGGAGGTAACTAATCTCTTTGTCTCCACTTTAATTTCTTTTCCTTCCCTTTTTTCCCTTGACAATGCAAAACATTATCTTAAAAAAAAAACCAAAAAAACGCCAAAAGTTGCAGTTGCTCTCGCCCAGCTTCTCTGGTCACGCAGGCTGGCAGCCAAGCCAGTGATTTGTCCTGGATTTGCGTGCTCGGGTCAGGCTGTGGCTCGTAGAGACCTGACTGGTCCCTGCAGCGTACGGGGTGGCAGGGCTGGGGCGAGCACCAGCAGGATTTGTGCACTGTCCCTAGTAGGAGCAGGGTTTGGGTGCCAGCAGGGGTTTCGCCCCCTCCGCTGCCATACATCCTGGGCAGCCGGACCGTGGGCTCCCCACAGCCGCCTTCCCGGGGCTCACCACGCCCTGCTCTCCCTTCCAGCGAGGAGGACATCGTCATCGAGGAATTCGCTCGCCATAAACTCAAGGGGGAGAAAGACGACGAAGAAGAGAAGGAGGAGGCTGAGAAAGAGGAAAGCTAACCTGCTGCCTGCTCGCACGGACAGCCACCGGTCCCACAGGCCCCGGTTTGGCACATAGATGCCCATAGCGCGTTCCCTGCCGCACCACACATGGTGCAGACACCTCAGCCCTCTACGCTCGGTGCGATGTGTTCCCCTAGGTACACCCTCCTCCCCCGGCCTCCTTGTACCGACTCCAAGCCCTGGTGGGGGGAGCCGCTGCATCACCTCCCAGTACCACCGGGCCGGTAAGCCCAACTGCGTGCGGGACGGGGTTCCCAATTCCTTGCCCCCGTGGGTGCCAGCGAGGGGACGGGGACAGGGAGGGTGCGCCGGAGCCCGGCCGAGCACCGCCATCAGCGTGTTTGTCGTTTGCCTGCGTTATGCAATACTCTGTGACACCGTTATAAATAAATAAATCCGCCCCAGTGGCCCGGTGCTGGCTCCGTGTCGTGCTGCCGGGGCGCGGGGAACACCCCGGCGCCGTGG